GGTTTCCGTGTGTGTAAACGGTTAAACGGTTTTGTTGTGTTTACTTTTTGTGTTTTGTTGTTATGTGGTGGTTTTGAACGGAGTGGGTGTTTAGGTATGTTAAACCGTATTTGTACGGTTGTTGTTTAGGTGGTTTTCTGTTTGTTTTTAACGGTGTTTGTTTGGTTTGTCTTGTGGGGTAAAAACGGACGTCGGGTTTTTTTAGTTTGTGTTTGGCCGTTCGTTGGTTTTTTCGTGTGTTTGAGGTCGTTTTGTTGTTGGGTACGGAAAACGGTGGGTAGTGGGTGGTTATGGTGTGTGTAATACGGAAACTGGGGTGTTGTCGGGAACGGTTTGCGGTGTGTGTGGGATGGGGCGGCGTGTGTGTGGGGACGGTAGACCAACGGTTGGGGTGTGGGGTTTTGACCGACAAAGCCGCGATAACACGTGGTGGTTACCGTTCGGGGGTAGGGTTTCGTGGGGGCCGTGGTGTGACGGTACGTTTTATTGTTGTGTGGGTAGTTGTTTTGTTTTTTCGGAGTCGTTTAATTGTTTCGGGGGGTGTTTAAGCGTCTTGGCGTGTGTTTGTTTTGTGGTTTGGTTTTTTTGGGGGTGACGTGGTGTGTGTTTTTAGGTTGTACGGTAGTTTACCAACGGTGTTTGTTGTTTTTCTTTTACGTGGTGTGTGTTTGGTTTTTAGTTTCGTGTTGGTAAACGTTTTTAGGGTTGTGGTGTTCGTTTGGTTGTTGTGGTGGATTGGGTTTTTTCAAAACGGTGGGAGTGTTGGGTACCGGTTTTGCGTTTCGGGTGGTTTGGGGGTTTTGGGGTAACGTAACGACTTAAAAAACGGTTGGGTAAACAACGTGGTTGCCGTGTAAGTGTTTTACGTTCCGGTCGGTTTGGTGGGGTAGGTGCGGTTTTTAGTTTTGCAAAACGTTTTTTTGTTTTATTGTGGGTTAGTTTTGTGTAGTTTGTAGTGTTGGTTTGTGGTTGGGCGGTTGGTTTTCGTATTTTGCACGTGTATCGCGGGGTACAACGTTTGTGGTTTTTTGTAGTTGATGGTTAGTTAACGTGTTATCGTGGCGTTTTGTGTGGGGTTTCGTTTTGTTGTTCCAAAACGTGTTGGTGTTCGCGGTTGGTTTACGACCAAACGGGTTGTTCACTGGGGTGTTAAAAAAACCGTTGTCCGGAAGCTGGTGTTATCAGTTTCTTGCAACAGGAAACTTCGATGTTCTTCAGCTGACCAAAGATGATGTGGATGACACTGAATATAGGTCTCTAATCGAAAAGGCGAGGTGTGTTTGTACAGACTAGTGAAAAAATGCTGATTGTTTGTGTGTGTATACAGTGTTGGGGAGTAACGTAAGACATGTACCGGCGTTGCGCATTTAAAATACAAAATATGAGTAACTGCATTCCGTTACAGTTACCATTTAAAAAGGTGGTATTTAGAATACAGTTACTTTGTTGAAATATATGAATTACACAGCGGCAGCGTTACGGTTGCTATGGTTACAGGGTGACGCGTGCTCTCTCTCGCTGTGTTTCCTGGGTGAGAGAGCGCCTTTTTGTTGTTGTTGTTGTGCTAAGCTAATAGGCAGAAGTGTTACAGTATAGCTCCTAGAAGAATGTAGCTCATGGGCAGTGTAGTCCGTGCTGCAGGGAGAATGGACTGCCATACCCGTTATGTGTCTGTGAGCGCGAGGAGGGAGAAAAAGGAGAGTGGAAAGTACGAGTTGTCATTGAGCAGAAACGGGAGCTGGAAGCATGTAAATATAATAATAACCACTGCAGCCAAGAAGAGAGCCTGACGAGCCCAGTTGTAAGTAAGCTATTAAGACTCGACTGTACACCGTGTTCGTGTTTTCCTCCGAAACAATAAGTTCCGTTGGAGCAGCCTTTCAACGCCTCTCTCTGTCTCTCGCTAGCAAAGTTGACCCAGACAACAAAGTAAAGCTAGTTTTCTGGCTACGAGCCCGACACGAACCCGACGTATTAGCCAGAGGTCCCTTTACTATGGTTCGGAGCCGCGGACCTTCAGTAATAGTAATAGTACATTCATGTAGTTGTAAAAAGCATGATAATATATTAAGTAATCCAAAGTATTCAGAATACGTTACTCTCATTGAGTAACGTAACGGAATACGTTAAAAAATACAGTTTGGGGCATGTATTCTGTAGAGGAATACATTTTAAAAGTAAACTTCCCAATACTGTGTGTATAGTTACATAATTTCAAAATCTTGAAATTATTTATTGTTTTGTTTTTGTATGTTTTCAGGTGGAAGTGGCAGACAACCTGACAGACCTCACTGAAGACATTGTGAGCTGTGGTTACACAGGACTTGTGAAGTTGGACAAACGGGACAGTATAATAAGGTAGTATATTTTAATAGACAATATACCAACCAGAAACATTTGAAAGTAATATTTTGTAAGTTAAAACCCTGGTTTAGACCACCATACCCCATCAGTTTCACTAATGACTGTGTTTGCTTTTCTAAATAGATCAATTGTTGTGCATGCTACGGTGCGTCTGACTCCAATGCTACAGCAAATCAGAAATGGCATGAAGATCTACAACCTTCTGGAGGTGATTGGAAGGCACGAAAATCTCTGTTCAAACCTGTTTGTTCCCATAGATGAGAATGATGATACAGCGGTAAATATGTCTTTATTTATTTCAGTTGTTTAGTTTTTACAACAGATTCTAAAAATACATGTGATGTAGTAATAGCCCTGTGAGGACTTTTTTGTTTCAGCCTTTATTTAGGTTGCTCAGATTAATGAGTATTGAAGAATATCTTTGTTATTGTTTATTTGAAATCACAACACGTGACACCCCCCCTCCCCCCCAAATCTCTTTAGCCAGATGCTGATTACATAATGAGCATCCTTGAGCCTGAGCTGAGTGAGAGGGGAAGTCCAAGGCATGCCAAAGAAAATGCCATCATCAACTTCTTCCAAGACTTCCTGGAGAACCTTGAAAGCTCAGGTTTGTGCCGTCGGCCAGTTACTGGTATTATCATCAAAACAACATTAACACAACAGCTGTTACAAATATAGTGTTGTAACATTTCTTTCAAACGTACTGTACTCTGCAAAATTGTCATCACGGAACTGAAATCTCTGTAAAGATTTGTTTATATGTTTTGATGTTTTATGCAATCTACCACATGTCTAAATGACAAAATTGGTTTTGCATATTAATAAATTTTGTGGTATGACAGTTAAAGATTTAAAGTAAGTCGAATCTGCTTCTTTAGATCAGGATAAAGACAAAAAGAGCTGTGAGTATGGGATCCAAGTCCTACAGGACCAGGAAGAATACTGGATTTCCAAACACCAACCACCGAGAATGTCTGTCCCAGCGATTATGCAGTGGTTAACTGGACAAAGACACAAGCCATGCCTTCCTTCAGAAAGGGCAAATTTTAAAATACATGTAAGATTTGAGCATCAATACAAAGATACGATGCCTGAACACTACATATGTTACCCACTTGTAAGTGCCTGCACAAACACAATCATCTTTCCTGTGGCACACATGAACTCATACACCGAGTTCACAGACGTTATGACAACAGCTGTCACAATGGGGAGAGATTTCAGCCGTGTGTAGTTGACACTCATAGCATGCCATCACAAGTTATGCAGTATTGCACTGTATTTCTACTATTTGTCTAACCCTTTAAACCTATTTCAGTTCTTGGAACACAGAGTAAAAAAGGAAAAAATATTTACAGTTAGATTATTTTTCCACGTTGTTTCACTTACTTTTTGTTCTTATAATGTTAAAAACTATGTTGACAAAACAGAGGAACCCATTCAGAAGACTGCATTCATAAAAACTTCTAAAAAGTCTAAGATTCAACTTGTTCGCAAATTAAATTCTGTAAGTCTGAAGAAGTTTAACTGAACTTTGTTTAAATATATTTTCTGCATATAAAGCATGTAGTACTATTTTGTTACTGAAATGTTTTCCATTGTGAATTGTAAATTTAGTGATATCCCAACTGTTTTGCTGAAAATAAATATTCTTACACTTGATGAATTGTTTGTTTCAGTCATTAAAATGATATCATTTAATTGTTTAGAGTATTTATTGACATGACATGTTAAACAAATTTAATCAACCCAGTTACAAAATCATCAGACATGAGATGCTTAACTGAATGTGGCTACTTTAAACATTAAGTTATAAAAGGTAAAAACAGTATTTGATGCAATTAAAAAAGATACATTCATCAAATAATCTGAAAATACATCCTAAGATTGATTGATTTGCTATTCTATCATTACAATACAAATAATGTGGTCAAATCCTATGAGAAAGGCTAACTGAGTGGGTTCTGTTGTGTTACTGAATGAACTATGATGTAGTTCAGCGCTCTCTCATAAAGGTCTCTTCCGTTGTCAAAGGAGGGACTAAGAGGATGAATGGCTGCCCTCAGTCCTGCCATCTCCTCAGGCCCCAAAGGACACTGTATTGGTGGAAGAACTACACCACCACTCTCTGGTCCCGAATAGTCAAGGTCCAAAGAGAAATGTTCTTGAATGTCCTGAAAATTCACTTGATTTTGTTATGAACAGTATAACTATAGTTTGCAGCAATTACAAAGTTATGTTAAAGTCTTTAAAAACAAAGACAGGTGCACATGTTAAATATATGCATGTCATGAATTTCAAGGTACAAAAACATAAGCGTTATAAAACATCTGTAATAGCACATTTTATAGTCGTACCTCAGTGTTTTCTGGTGCAGCCACAGGATTTTGATCCATGTATTTAAAAATAAATAAATAAATAAGAAGAGGGATTACCCGTGTCATTCTTTTGGTCCACTGCAGTGCAGTAGTCAAAAAAAAGAATAAGTGAAGTGTCCACAAATGGCCAGGATAGAGCCCAGAGTGTTAATGTTTAAAATGTATAAAAATATTATTGATTACAATTCTTTACTGTTAATATCAACAATAAGCTTTTTATTTTGAAAATACAAGTTTATTTATTTAACAGTTATTCAAATGTCACTAACCATGTAATTACACTACTGTTTAAAGTGAATACTGACCTGACTGACTTCCTGGAACTTGCGCTTTTTCAGTCTGAAAATGGGCACGTGTTGTCCTTCAAGCACAGCTTTGGCTTCCTCTCTCCAGTGTGCAAATAGCTTGCCAGAGCTTAACAGAAAATGTTGATATTGTTAAGGTGTGTAAACTTTGACACAACATAGAACAGAAGTCAAAATATAAATACCTCCTGAGATCAAAGTTCTCCATCAACAGCAAGCACCACCATTTACGCAAGTAGGGCATGTCTGACTGTAAAATATTAATATGAAACATATTTAACAACTTTCAAAAGATTCAAGACTCCATTGCTGTGAAAGTAAATAGAATACTTACTATAGTATAGTCAAATGAAGCATCCAGTGCCACGTACAGAGCAGACTATTTGGAAGAAAAAATAAAAATGTCATTTTTTTTAGAAGCTTAAATTAGCTTCTGTATGAATCTCAAGAAGAGAAGAGAAAAATTACCATCAGCATGAAGATCCCACAGTCAACTCCATAGTCTTGGCTTGGAAAACCCTGTATTACATTGAAAATAAAGGCTCGTTAATAAAATCCCTTAAAAGAAGACTAGTGTAATTCATATTATTCACCATACACTTAAACTAGCACATACCTTCAAGTCAAAGCTCTTTTTTTCTGACCACTGCCCGGGAATGATCTTCACTGCAAGATCCTTTTTTTTTTAAAGACAGTTACATTCACAAGTTAACAGATGTCATCATGATGGGTGTGAAATGTTTATTGCTAATAGCACCAACTGTAACTACAGGCCTTAGGAACACGACCTCAACAAAACAGCATAACAAAATGAAAAAGTACAGTCACATGCTCACAGTTGGTCAAAATAAAGCATTTACAGCTTTAAGTTAAGGTTGGCATATTTTATAAACTAATTTTTAATGGTGTTTTATGTTAAACTAGAACATTGGAAAACCCTATTTATGTCTGAAACTCATCTAAAGACAGCATCACTGACTTGATCATAATGTGAAGATGAGCCTATCCCAGCTGTCATAGGGCGACAGACTGGACAGGTCGCCAGTCTGTCGCAGGGCCAACACACAGGGACAGACAACCATTTACTCTCACATTCATTCACACAGTTACACCTAGTGGCAATTTGGATTATCCAATTAACCTATCCCCACAAGCTTGCATGTCTTTAGACGTGCAGGAAGGTGAGTACCCGAGGGAACCCACGCAAACACGGGGAGAACATGCAAACTCCACACAGAAACTTGCTGATATAGTTTATAGAAAAAGCATGTGAGTGTACTGTATGTGTGAACACTCAAGATCAGCAGAACATGATCTGGGATGCACTTAACCTGGAACACTGAACAGGTTCCTGAAAACTCCGGAACAAACCAAAAATGCTTATAAAAATGTGACCTCAAAAGTGAAACATATTGTTGGCCACCAAATCCTGCCTTGGTGTATAATGGGTCAAGAAAGAGGATTTCTCTTTTAGGTGGCTTCAGTACCTAAAAGACAGTTAGCCATGACTTCAAACCTGAAAACAATGTCATTGCAAGCGATCACAATCAAAGACTTTTGAAACTGCGTCATAAAAGCTTGAATACATCTCAGACACATAGCAAAATTCTAACAGTTTGTACGTGTCAAAAAACAAGACTTACACACAACTGGAAATGACCAGGTGTCCAGAGAGGGAGAACTATGATGTCCATCCTCTGAGCATCAGTCTGAAACAGAATTGTATTTTTAAGTATCCTGTATATGAACTCGCACCAAAGTTATAAAAAAAATCATTTTGATTACTTGCTTGTTTCTTTAAAGGACGGTACACTTACAGGAAAGGACTGCAATGGATCACAGCCATAGGGTGCAAGCCAAGTCCGGGTGACATACAGATTTTCTATGTAAATGCTTATCCCCTAGAATGTAAAAAAAAAAACATTTAAAACAACAACTCTTTAAATTAAAGCTTGACAATCATCATATACAACATACAGTACCTTTGACTGAACAATTTTAGTGATAAGCTCAAAACAGCCATTTCCAATCTGAAACAGAAAAAATCATGAAAAAAAGAATGTACACTTTATTATTTCATATTCATAGAAAAAAAATACTTACAGTCAATTCCATTTGTTTGTTTAAACCCAGTGTCCAAAAATCTGCCCGCGTGAGGCATCCAGAAGACGTTTCAACAATCAGCTCATCTTTGGGTCTGCTGATGTCCAGAACATAGTTGAGCTAAAAAAAACAGATAGGTGTCATAGACTGTGGATGACCAAATCAGATAAGCACTAAAAGTTGCACTTTGCGACATCTGAAAACTTTAACATACAAGCTGTTGTTGGCCAGGGTGCGGTACAAAACACCATGATGAACGGCTGGCCAAAATGTTCTCAGGCTTTGTCAGAGCTTCGCACGGTGGTCCACACAGGTCAGGAAAAGTTGCATCTGTTGACCTTCG